TTTTTTTACATTAGTAATTCCTTTTGTGCATAATTTTATATTATTGTTAATAATAAATTAATTAAAGCAACAAAACAACCTGAAGAGCCAGTTTGGAGCCGAAAGAGCCGGTTCTCTAAAAAGAGCCAGAAATCCCATGACTATTGTACTCGGCCCTGAAAACCTTAGAAATATGGTATCTAACCAGATTCTTACTCTGGATGGCATTACCTTGGCCTCCAGTAACGCTGTGAGGAACCTTGGAGTCATTTTTGACCAGGACATGTCCTTCAATGCACATATTAAACAAATATGTAAGACTGCTTTCTTCCATTTGCAGTTAATCCAAAATGCTGCTGTGTGTTGTTTATTCGTGATCTCTGAATTTGCATATGCCAATTCACCTGTCCAGGGGCTCGGATGTGATTGGTGGATGGAAGGATCAGCCTGGTGTAACTGGCTCCTGCTGCAGACGTATCCAATAAAGGACAATGGGGTTGGGGGGTGGAAAGTGTTACATGCACTTTCCCCAGGAAGAGGAAGTCCAGCTTATTAGTCTGTGCCTAATGTCTTTTATTTTAAAGAGAACTTCATAAATCAGCTATGTTAGTGTGACTAAGTTACTATGGTAACTTCATCTTTAATTTAGGGGTGAGAATTTAACACGTTAATTGCGATTAATTAATTTGAAAAAAATAAGACATTTAATTGCTCTTTGCCTTCCAAGGGGAACTTTTGTTAATGCACGATTTGCTGGTATACCGATTACACTGATGCACACAGAAGAAGGAAGTGCGTTGCTAGGACTGACATGCAGTTTAAATGTTTTTTTCCATAAATTAAAAGAGCTTGACTTTATAATATTCATGTCCATATCTATTAATTCATTCTGTCGCCCACTAAAACCCTTTAAATAAAAAAAAAAACATTTGAGTTTTGGGTCAAATGTTCTTGTGCAATTAAATGTGATTAATCGAGATTAATTAATTACAAAGCCTCTAATTAATTAGATAATTTTTTTTAATCGAGTCCCACTCCTACATCTGTGTATTGGCATTGTCGCACATTTAAGTACCATCAGGGTGAGAGAGGGTTAAGGACGAGTTTCTGACCAGGAAGTGACATAAGTTTGGCCCACATGTGGCACATCTGCAGCTCTCGGAATGACGGGACTATGTCAGAGCATGCCTCAGCCATGCTCGCCACACGTGGCCAAATGTGGGGTGATGTGTGGGCTCCATGTGGCAGAGCAGCTGGGAGCTGGGTAACTGAGCAGATGTGTCTGATGTTCAGCTTTGGGCAGCACGCTTCCTTCAAACCGCCACATTCTGCTGAGCAGCAGAGAGGGTGGGCTTATGACACGATACCTGGAACTTGGATGTCAGAACTCACAAGTTAGCATGTCTCGAAAAAACCAAGAAAAAAAGGTTTGCTTTGGTTCTTAGCGAGCTGCAGCATTCAGGTGTCACTAGCAATGCATCGCAATAACTTTGGTGCATAAAAACACGGTCGGGCACGTTCACGGACAGAGCATCATCACTGCTCTGTGTACGGCTTTTTCTTTTAAAAAATTCAAATAAACAGCAGTGGCGTCACAGATTCAAAGTTCACAGTTTTACTACTCTTCATGTCCACTGTCACTACCTCCAGGTGCTAACACAGCATATGTTGATCTGCTCTAACTTCCTGACTGGGAAATTTCTGACTTCCAGCTTCTTCAGGAGGCAACATACATCCTGCAGAGCCACAGTGTGGGCGTGGCCAACCCTGGTGACCATGGGCCTGATTCCAGTCCAGACTGCAATAATCAAACAGTAAATCAGTCACTGAATACCAGTGTCAATATTTCCCTCAGACACATTGTTGGTTTGAAAAAATCATCCTCATCATCAGCTCTCACTTTGACATATAGTAAATCAAAGTGAATCAAATTTTACTTCCTAGAGTTTATTTCTATTTTAGTTTGTTTGAACCTTCTGATGAAAATCACAGACACAGGTCACATGATCATCAACATGTATACACACGCTGCAGTGGGTAGAGTGATGTGGAAGCTGCTTCACTGGACTTGACGAGTGTGTGTGTGTGTGTGTGTGTGTGTGTGCGTGCGTGCGTGCGTGCGTGCGCACTCACAGACTTCCTCTCAGTCTTCAGCTCCTGAGTGTATCGTGTCAGCTCGCAGACAATTTGTGCGTTCAGGTTTTCAGCAAGATCTTCTCTCTGGATGGCGAGTTCGTTCAGCTGCTGGAGAGTCGCCGCAAACGCCACAAACCAGGTGTACCTGAAACAACCAGTCGGCTGGCCAGCTCAGCTCACACACACTTCACAGGAAGCACATTTTCACCTCACGGTCAAAGCGCACGGCCGTAGTTTGATGGTGCATGCGCGTCACTCTCCACCGGAACTCATACCTGACCCAGACCGAGCACTGCACCCGTGTCCAGCTGACAACCATTTCCTCAGAGTTGCAGGTGCCGACTTTAACCTCGAGTCTGTCAATGTGAGGTGGAGGTCGGTGCCTGATGATGCCAGCAGGACTAACAAGCAGAGATGCGGCGACCACAGAACCCTCCAATCTATGGCTACTCCGGACTCCGGGAGTGAGTCCATTTACTGTAGGCAGTATGGGCCGATCGACCACTCCTCAGGGAGCACGCTCAGTAAAGTGCAAGCGTTTTCATTGCAAGCAGAAACATCTGAACCAGCATTTTCTGATCAAAACTGCGATTTCACACAACACGATCGTGTATTTGCCAAAGCTGCGGTTTTCTGCAGCGTTCCTGACTGACCCGTACTACGAAATTTGACTCGTGGGTGAACTCGGTACAAACAGGTAAAGACTCACCTGCTCTCATCTTCTCTGTTCCTCTTGGGGTGGTACTTCTTCGACAAACTTCTGGAGACACACAGGTGACACACACAGGTGAGACACACAGGTAGTACAGACTTTTGGGGTTTCGGGTTTTATTGAAATGAGACATTAAGGTAACACTCAGGTAATCAGTTTTACACACACATCATCTGCACTGTGAGTAAATCCAGGTACTAATGATAAACTGACTGATCAGGTATTGTTATTTATTTGAAGGAGTTTAAAGAGTTGTCTCCAAACCTCCTCACAGTTTGACTTTAACAAATGTGACAAACTAAATTCAGGTTTTCCAGGAGTTTTACATGGTCGTGATGGTTCAGGTGTTGGTTTAAGGACTATACCTGATCTGTTTGGCGTAGCTCAGCTCAATGTCGGCGCGCTCTTTTACAAACTTAGTGTATCTCTCAAGGAAGTCGATCCCCCAGCTCGTGTGTTTCTCCAAGTTATCAAACTGATCCTGAAACAGCAGACTGGTGTTAGTGTGACCTTTGACCTCTGACACTCACCTGAAGCACAGCATAAATAACAATTCACTCGCTGGACCCACGTCCTCATTTTATGTTTGACAGCGTTTTAGTAGGTAAAGGTGATGCTTGGGCATGAACTGAGCTGCGGTTTGGGGAAGGCTTTGAGGCGGACTGGCGACGGCTCCCGGGCCCGGCAGATCCCCACGTACTGAACAGAAGTGAAGAAGTTACAGAATTGAAAAGGGGAGGGAGGAGCACGTAAACGAGAATGACAGCTTGCAGAACTGGGGGAACCTATATAGATGAGGACCGGAAGGAGCATGTTTGGAGGCGTGGTCCCGCTCCTGAAATTTCGATACGTAATCTCCAACAAGTAGTGTTGTGAGTTTGGTCTCACAGGCCCTCAAAGAAATGGGAAAAACAAACATGGACCATCAAATCTGAACTTCCTGATCCTGTGAGCTCACACACAACGGTCATGTCCAAATTCATGGGCTGCATCCTCCTGAGGCCGCATTTGTAGGCCGATTACGTCACAGCGACGCGCCGAAGGCTGTCCAAATTCGTAGACTCCTCCGAATGCAGCCGACAAATGCGTCCTCCTTTTCCCCGAATTTGAAGGATGGGTCGGTGTGTCCTTTATGGCCTACCATATCCCAGAATTCATAGCGCGGCCTAGCCAAACTCCAGTTTCCAACAATGGCGGCTGCTACTAAGTTTTAAAATTACTCTTATTAATCTTTCTGGGTCACAAAATAAACTTTTAACATATTTTCAGGCGATAATGTAGCTGTGTAAACATCAAATATCTGCTCGGTTTATCAAGATATCGCATATTTGCAAAAGTGCTTCGACGTTTTCGGAGACATCTGTTACCCATCAGCTCGATAGCTGACCGGGAGCTCGAGGGTTACTGAAGCCGCCGAGAACGTCACAACTCCCGGCACATCATTTTCAGATCACCGCCGTCTTTCACTACTCAGGTTAAACGTAATATATGAGTCACTTAGACAACCTAAAAATGTTATTGTTGGGCTTTTTTCAGTGTTTTATTTGTTCCTGAGTCAATCAGTTTGGCTGAGATTAAAGTTATTAGATTAGATTAGATAAAACTTTATTAATCCATCGGGTTGGTTCCTCCTTGGTTTTTACACAGTTGACTAAATGTCAAACAGAAAACTGATTAAACAGAAGTGTGAGATGGTCGAGAGTTTCCTCCAGTGTCCTGTTATATTTTAGATAGCAAGGAGCAGACGGCCGAGTTTATTAAACTCCACAGAGACAGCGGTGACGCTAATCAGAAGGCTGGACCGTCCAATTTCCCCAGCCGTTTACTTCCGGCCTACCCGACCTTCTGAGGACTCGGGCCACGTAGACCGCGAAGGCCGGGTCCTCAGGAGGATGCAGCCCATGAATTTGGACACGACCAACGCCTTTATCTTGTCTTCCTTCTCTCACCCCAACCAATCACAGCAGATGGCCCCGCCCCTCTCTGAGCCTGGTTCTGCCAGAGGTTTCTTCCTGTTAAAAGGGAGTTTTTTCCTTCCACTGTCACCAAAGTGCTGCTCATAGGGGGTCATATGATTGTTGGGCTTTTCTCTGTATGTATTATTGTAGGGTCTACTGTACAATATAAAGCACCTTGAGGCGACTGTTGTTGTGATTTGGCGCTGTGTTAATGGAACTAAACTGAACTGAGGCCACTTTATAAAACAGAAGGTCAGTCGGCTGCTTCTGGTGCAGCAGGAGGGGAGGCAGAACACCTGTTAGCAGGTTAGGTTCACAGATGCTGTTACCATGGTAACTCACTAGCAGAATCTGCTCCAAGGATCAGGACCGGACCCTCTCTAGAGTCTAGACTATGTGTGTGTTTGTGTGTGTGTACTATGTTTACATATCTTTGTGGGGGCCAACAGTCACGGGGACAAAGCACTCGTCCCCACGAGTTTGAAGACATTTTTGAGACTGAAGATGTCGTTTTAGCGTCAGAGTTATGTTTAGGGTGGGAAGCAGCTGGGAAAGCATTATGTCAATTAAATGTCCTCACTATGATATAAAAACGTGTGTGTAAGAGTCGCGCGCTGCACCATCATGGAGGTTGTAGCTCGCGCTTCTGTCGTCACTCATCGTGTTGCTATGGCAGAGCAGACAGAAGAACGAAGCTGCGCGCGCGCACACACACACACACACACACACACACACACACACACACGTACAGGTTACCGGTGCGTAGCTCTCAGGTGCGGCTC